TAAAGCGCACAGATGAAGTTGTTGCAGAAAGAACGGCAAGCATTAACCTTCACACATCCAAGACAGCTGATCCTGGTGCAGTTTTCTGAGCAGATGGAAGGTGGGAAACCTTATATACAACCTAATGGAATTCTCATGTTCCAGTACAATATGCACACAGTGAAGTCCATGCACACAGCCCAGCTCAACAATACATGGGATGATACTGTGCAAATCTACTATTCTAGGGTAATAAAGCTAGCTGGGAACATACAAAACCAGTGAAGGATACAGGGAAAAAATGGGCCAGACAGATAAATCACACCTTGGCCCACAAATGCAACTCCTCCAAGTGTGCAATATGGCAGGGTGAACACATGGACACCCTGTGGATAATTCAAGAATACATACCATCGCAGGCTAGTATGAGCACATGAAAGCTACCCAGCCCCAGGAGTGCACCCTTCCAGCACAGAGACATTTCTGCTATCTCACATTGAGCCAGTGCATGCAAAGTATAGACAAACCCTAGGGCTCTGGCTCTACCTGTGACAGGACACTGGGAATGTTCCAGAGAGCTGGCTCAGCCCACAAAACCTGGTATTGCACTCCCTGACTCTGAAGCACTGTACAAGGTCTGCCCTTGCATACTCTTCCAGGTGACACAAACATGCAGTTCATGGCTGAGAGTGCTGAGAAGATGACATTTATGAATGTCTAAGGTATGTTTTACATGTTGTGCACGTAAAACATGCCTCTCCATGGTCACTGTTTCATGACAGTTGTACTATAATAGCTAGAATCCTTCTCTGGCACACTAAGGTAACAAAAGTTCAGAGTATTTGCTAGCGAGGGCTGAGATGCATATAGTTATCAAAAAGAAGCTCCATATTAATATCCCCAAAGAGGCAAATTTGTGTTTCCAATCATGCTACAGCATAGGAGCTCTAGACAAATGCCTTTACCTCAGCCTCTTTCTTCACATTTACTCAAATCTAGTTAGCTGAAATCAACATTTCAGTTGTGCATGTCTCTGTAAACTGACCATCAGCAACAGGACACTGAGAATCAAAAAATGCTTACAAAATACAAACCAAAACAAAACACTTATCCTGAAAGACCCAAGCATACTCTATTCCAAGGAGAATCTTCATCAGATCCTGCAACATTATTTTGTGAAAAATGAGTCATGTCTGAACACAGCATAACAGAAAGCCCTGTGAACCAATAACCCATCTGTCCAGACATAGGTATCTGTTCAGTCTGTGATGTGATTCTCCTGTCCTATCTGTGTAGCACAAGCAACACAGCCATCAAAAAAGTGAAGCGGGGTGTGCAAAGCAATGTAGACATAGCCAAGTTGCTCGCTGTGAAACAACAAGGCTCTAATGAATTGTTCAGAGCATCCTCTTAACTGAGTGCAGCACATACCAAACCCATTTCTTAATACTACAGTTATGGTAAAATTCTCCAGAATCAAAGTACAACATTCTTCTGCCTACCCAGAATTGATTCCCAAGACCACCAAAACAAAAAGGTGGCTCTTCTGCAGCTGAAAGAATTCAAAGAAAACTGTCAGTAGTTTCTAGCACTGTTACTCATCTAACATCTGCTCATTCTTACAGTTGTCATCATGGCTCAGGCGGAAGCTGAAACACTCCTGAAACCTAGTGTTATCCCTAGTGAAAAGGCTATGATAAATAGCAATGTGGTACTAAAGATCAGGCAGCAAAAAATCCCATACAACTGTGGGTTGAACAGGTCAGAAATGGGTCCAGTCTACCCCACACCTTCTAATAAGCTTAATGGCATCAGAGAAAAGACAACATTGTTGTAGCTGTTATGCTGGAGATAATGAACAATGGTCCTGCAGGATAACAGCACCTCTAGTCTACAGATCATATGGTAGAAGGGACCATTGTGACCATGCAGCTTTTCTTCCCATGCAACAAAAAAGCTGTATGTTTTTTCTGAATGAATTATTGTTTGACCAATTACCTGACTGTTGGGCAGGCACATTATCCTGAATGAGCAATGTCCAGTGATAGAAGATCCAATAGACTCTGTAGGCAAATTGCTTTAGTGATTAATTTGTCTGACCAAGAAAATTTTACAAAGTCTTTCTGGTTTTATATTTGTCCAGCTTCGATGTCTAACAATTTTCTGCTCTTACACACTGCCTGCTAGAGTCCTTTTGCTCCCCATGTAGCTATTACACTTGGTGAGCAAGCTACCAGTTAGTTTTCATCTTGCGACGTAAAATTGAGTGAGGTCTGTGGTTCCAGAATAAAAATTACTTAACACTGTTCAAACTCTCCAATTTATCAGTTGTCCTTCCTGAAAAGTGGATGTCAGAAACCTGGATTTCTCACTAAACTAAACTCACCATTCTGCAAGAAATCACAGGTGCTTGCCAATCAAAACATACCTCAGACATACTTGGTGATATTGGGACCAATAGACTAATTCTGACAACTACCCAAAGTGCCAACAGCCCACAGAAGTATGAACCCGAACCCAACCTAGTTCTACATCAGAAACTGGTGCCTTAAATGGGAACATACAAAGATCTCTTGATTTCTTCTAAGCTTTCAAAAGGGCCTCTCTCCTGTAATGAACCAAAATCTATGACTTCATAGGTTTTGGTTTGGTTTGGTTTTTTTAATATCTGCATCTTCCTCAAGAGAACACTTCAGTGATGAGTAATGAGACTGCATACAGGATTTCTGCCAGCCTGTGCAAGCTCATTATTTCTGCAGCACTGTTAGCAGCAACAGCGACGGACGAGACATGATCTCTGAGACTGGGGCATGAGGAGCTTTGGAACTAATCTGCTCTCCCCTAATGCCTGTGCTCAGTCTACCGTTGTACAGCAAATTCGCAGCAGAATGGGGAAAGGGGGAAAATGTTACAAGCACGATGGCATGAGGGGGATCCAGCAAAACTACCCTCTATCACAGAGAGGATACATTAAAATGAAGCAGAGTAACCTTGCTTATCCAGATAAACAGGCATTCATACATGCAGTAGTCAAAATAAGTCAGAAATATGGTCTAGGCATCTCTCCGAGAGAAAACAGCGGATGTGGTTTCATCCTTTTTACCCACTGTGATGACAGGTCTACCAACATTTTGCCCTCCAGGTTTGACTGCTCTATCACACATGCATGCTTGACTGTACTCGTTCACACAACCACACATTTACCTGCACCAGTGACAAACTAATTGCCACCCAGTACTCTCCACAGGTTACAGAGATTCCCCAGGGCCTGGACCAGACATCACTGAATTTCTATTACCACAAACCAATCGCTCCAGGCAAACACCTGCAAGTGGCCTTCCTGGCACACAACACAGCCTTTTCAGTACCAGAGAAGATGGCAAGTGAACTGCAAACAAGGTTTTGGGGTTCCTGCTGAGTTCCTAGGATGGCTACAAGAAGCCAGAAAATAGATCCAGAACAAAAGCCCACAATGCAGTACGTCGTGAGCTTTGAAGAAGAGGACAAACTCCATTCTCCTCTGTAAGGACACGTGGTCACATCCTTTCATTGCTTGTTACAGAGAGTGCTAGCATAAGTCAGAGTAAAAAAAGTTATTCCAAGGTCACTTTATTATCTTAACAGTAAAAAAGTTACACCATTATGGTTCAGAAGAAAACTGGGAATTTAGAAGCCTCTGGCCCACGTTGTTACAGCTGCATGTAGGACTGTGGGAAACAACTTGTTCAAAAGCAGGCTATACTTTGCTCAAAACCAATTTTTGTTCTGCTGAAAGCACTTTGATTTGCTGAAGTCTACTGCACTTATTTATGAATATAGCATTACACTATTTTCTGCGTTTTGAACTGCCACATCTTAAAGGCTAGGGCTTTCCTAATTAACAACCTCCACATCTTCTGGAGGGTGGACCTGGGAGAAGGGCTGAGCAGGTTTCATCACCAGCAGTGCAACATGCACATCAAGATGTTCGGTGTCTGCATCTGGCTTACGAGGGACCAAATATACTTTCATCTTACAGAAGTGTGATTTTTCTAAGCAGAAGGCTGGTGTGGTATGAAATCTGGTGACCTGAAGCTTTGTGACATTAGTGTTGATATCTGTAAAGGCACTGTGTCTACTCCTGACAACTGTTAACTGTTGAGTGCAGTCACTATTTTTTCAACCCATTATCAGTCTTGGCTCACATATTTGGATGAGCTGACAGCTCAGCTTTATGGTGAATTAGTTTGATACAAAAAGAGCTATTAGGACCCATGTTTTACATTTGTCAAAATATACAGTATAGTTGCTTGGACCTCTTCTTGAATATATGCTCCTTTACCAGCAGCATCCTCCTTTCTTTGCTACTCCAGAGTAGGAATTATTCGGTGACTGTCACTTCATTTCATCCATATGAGCAAAGATAAGGTTGATCTTGTGCCCATCCTTTACACATACCCCACCACCGCTTTCCACCAAGAATAGAGCTGCTTCCCTCCCATCCTGCGTGAAACTCTCTGATTCTCACAGTTTCCAAGGCAGCATTGCCAGTTGGCTCCGGGGTGTTTCAGAGTGTTTCTGCACAAGCTCTTCCCTGCCACCGCAATACCACACACTGTGATGAGCAGCCACACAAGAACCCGAGGCAGCCTGGAGTTACACCGGGGAGGGCTTCAAAGGGGACTGGTTATGTGAACAAAGACAACTCACATGAGTAACAGGTTGTACCTCGAGGCACTTCTCCGTTCTTAGTGTATATCCACACAGCTTTCTGTGGGCTATTTTAGAAGCATAAATTCATCTCTTCCTTCCAACCTGAGGTTTGGGGCTCACAGCTTAAGATTGGCTTGCTGCATGCATTTATTTACCTTACATCTCAGACCAGTCTTACTGGATGGTAACACACAGTGGAAAATGCAGAAACAAAAGTACATATTAGATATGGCACATTCTCATTTACAGAACCAAAGGTAAAAATGGGTAAGTGAAAGCAAAGAGAAAAAAACCCACATTTATTCAACACTATTGACTCTGTGTCTTACCTTCCTATGGGTCCCAGATCTCCCGAGTCCTGGCTGCCTGCGTCACTGGGTGTGCTCACTGATTTCGAAGAGGGAGACATAGGGGTTGGGACTAAATAATGAAAATAACAGGTATCCCATGTTAACACATGCAGCGACTGCACTGATGAAGAGCAGTGTCAGACAAATCAAAAACCAATGGACCAAAACGATAGTGGATGAATGTGTAGGAGAGTTTGAAATGGTGAAAGCAAATAAGGAAGGAAAGAAAAAGAAAAGGAAGAGAGTCAAGTGAATTTTTAGTCTTCTGAAGTGTTAAAACTGACATGAATTTAGACAGGACTGAAAGCCCAATGGGAATCTACAGCTAATCAATGGAAGAGATATCTGTGGAAATAAAACGGCACTTGTTTTTTTGGGTATAGTTTAAAATTGACTTCCAAAAGATTTTAAAGGTATGAAGAAATACCAGGGGCTTGTCTTGTCAAAAAACTAAGTGAACTCTTCTGGTAAATTCAAGTAGGCAACAGAACAAGCATATTTTTCAAATTCTGAATTTAAATCAAAAGCCAGTGTCCATTAGGTATGGTCGAAGGCTGAAGTGTGGATATGAGATAAAAAATAAAAGGTAAATAAGGAAATCCAGCTAAGTTAAAATCATTTCCCAAAGATGGTGAGAATACGTATTAGTTTGCTCAGTGATCATGTTTTCTTAAGTAATTTAGGTCATATAAACTTTCCATTTTGGGTGGGACATGATTTCAACACTCAAGGAAAATTTTCCCTTGGTTTAGATGCTATTTGCCCAAGTTCTAAAAATTATTTTCTCTTTGGCTTGCCAGGGCTTTTGAAGCATATTTCATGCAAAGGCAGTTTTGTTTCCTGAAACAGGAAAGGAATTCATAGCTCAAGGTCAGCCCAAGTTAAAGCTCTTCAGCAAGGAAATAATAAATAAAAAAGTAAAAATATCCTGATTTCTTTTAAAATGGTTTGCTCAAAAATATTTAAAATGCAGAGATGGCTCCAGTCAAGGTTTAATGCAAGTATTCTTCAAAGCAGCCACATTGAATAAAACACAAAAAGAGGGTTTAATGCAAGAGTGAAGTTTCCCATTTGGTTTAAATCACGTGCATTTCCTTTTATAGATTTAACCGAGTAAAACTTTAAACTATTTTGTTATGCTCTATAATGTATAATGACAGAACTGTCAAGAGATTTGGATTTTCCATGTGGTCAAACATTTCATGCAGATTCTCACTAAAGACTGTCACCGAAATGACTGCAGCATGAAAAGTGAATTCATTTTCGTGACAGCCCTTTGGCAGGTTACAGGTATGTCGTGACTGTTTCTGTATTCCATATTCACAGTGGGGTCTGGGTATCATATGGGTATGTGAAGGCAGAGTTAAAGCCTCTTTAGTATATTAACTGTGAGTATATATACAGGAAATGAAAGAGGACAAAACACTATTGTTTAATTGAAACTAATGATCTTATATGTGGATTTTCATGTTCTTCTGATAGTATCAAACACAAAATAATTAACTAAGATAAGAATTGATAATTTGCGACATGAACATATGTGTTTAGTTAATATTATGATAAGGAAATATATCCTCATTCTTAGATAAAAATGAGTTTTTTAAAATGCTAGAACATTAAAAATTTTTCTGATTTTATAATAGCATGATATAATTCACAAAACATTTTATGGTACATAAAAATAACTTAGGCATTAGTTGTGTGCTGGTTTTGGCTGAGATAGAGTTAATTTTCTTTACAGTAGCTAGTATGGGGCTGTGTTTTGGATTTGTGCTGGAAACAGTGTTGATAATATAGAGATGTTTTAGTTACTGCTAAGAAGTGCTTACATAGAGTCAAGGCGTTTTCTACTCCTCACACCACCCCACCGGCAAGTGGGCTGGGGTGCACAAGAAATTGCAAGGGGACGTGGCTGGGACAGCTGTCCCCAGCTGACCAAAGGGATATTCCAGAGCATATGATGTCATGCTCAGCATATAAAGCTGGGGGAAGAGAAGGAAGCGGCGGGGGGAGACATTCAGAGTGATGTCTGAATTGTGTGGCTGGGGTTAAACCATGACAGCTTGTCAGACAATTCTTCTGAGAAGTGGTATTTAAAAGCTTCAGTCACTATATCACAGCTTATAAAAATAGTTACTTTTCTCAAGAAGTGTGGTTTGATGCAAGTTATGTATTGAAGTCCCAATTCAGTATGTCACAATCTACTTGCATATGCACCCAAGCAGCTGTTAAGACACTCTCCTAAGTCAAAGCTTCAGTATTTTGTCAAATTTGGATTTTTTCCTAAACATTACAGGCAAAAATATCTAGGGGAAAAATCCTTGACTCAGCCCCAGTAAATTTAATGACAATGCTTGGCACTTCCAAAGGGACTAACATTTCAGTTATACATAGTGACAGTGATTCTGGATTCAAGGGAGAAGAAAGAGAAAGAAAGGAAGTGGAGGGAGGAAGGGAGGAAATTTCTCACCTTAGGGCCAGCCAAGAAGTGAGACAAAACTTAATCAAAGTAACCAATATTCCGATACTATAATCTTTGCCACATGTATTTTTAAATGGATGACTTCAGATTCTAGAACTGAAACATCAAAACCCAAACAGAGGTTGAGCACATGAAACCAGATCAAAAATCTACAATAATGATCTGATGATAAACTTTTTGATAGTTGTGATTTTTCTTTTTATTTCCCCTTTCCAGTTTTGCTTGATTTTAAAAGAAAATCAGTGGGAGTTCCCACATACTATGCTACTCCTTCCTTAGCAAATGCTTAATCTGAATTTTTGAAACAAAACTCAGGGCTAATGAAGTACAGCATTTATATTAATTTGTGGGTCATCAAAGAGATGTGAGAGAAGGTAAAACAGTCCATCAGAAAAGAAATCACTGCTGGTATGCAAAACCTGCATTACATTCACAAAAATTTCTTGAAGAAATGAAACATGTTTTTGGCAATGACAGGTACTCAAAATGCCATGAGCTGGTATATGTGAATGGTACGGCAGGCATTCAAACAGAAGAGTTCACTTCACTAATACAGCCAAAAATCAAAAAAGCCAGGCATGCTTTAATAGAAAGAATGCACTCATTGTGGCACAGCTGAATGCTTTACAGTGTGCTTCTCTTAAATACCTAGAGGTGGTTCTGGGGATATACCAATGCTCTGTAACAAAGCTTCCGTCTCTCTTCTTTTGCGGTCTAGGTCAGAATCTTCCTGAGCTGGCTCCTTCTTTTGCTGCAGATCAGCCTGAATTAAAAAAAAAACAAAACAAAACAAAACATTAAAGTTTCATCCACATATAATCAGCTCTAGAACTTAAGCGTGATGAAAGTATTTATATGCACCATTGCTTAGGTACACTTTGAAATTCACTTAGATATCACGTTTAGGTAATTTATAACTAAGATAATTTATACTCCATATACCAGTAACTATTTTTCCCTGAATGCATGCAAAAACTGATCTTTACAAGGATTTTTACAGTACACTGATGGATACCTTCTGCCTCTCACTCATCAGATGCAACTTATTCAACTAATATAAAAGCTGACCACAGAGTAACAGATATCATTACGCTGAATAAAAATGGCTACTCAAAAAATTCCTACTTACTCAAGGATCGAGAAAAAAAATTCCCTTGAACTTCAGTGATGTCACTTAAGGGCCTACATTTGGTCCCAAGCAATTGTTGGCAATAAAAATACTTTCTCATAAATGCCAACATGTAACAGAAGCAAAGGACTAACATGTCTAAAATAGGATTTTGGCAGCCCTTCGCACTAATAGCCAAAACTAATGTCCCACAGCACGCTTCCTTTGCTTAGACATTTATATCTACTTGTAGCTTCCACACGTTAGCCTCCCCCCACCTCTGGTCTACTGGGACCTAGAAACAGGAGAAGCAACATCTGCATTAGCCAGAATCCCTTACACTTGGCTCATCATTCCCCAGTTTAGTAAGGTAGAAAGAAAACATTGATATCCCATATTAGTGGTTAGAATACTCCCTTGAAAGAAACAGGCTTGCAGCCCTTCTCCCAAGCAGATGAGGGAATGGAGCCCATATACCACTTTGTAGCCCAGTGCAATAACCAGTAATGCAAGTAAAACAAAATGCATGTGGTCGTGTCTACCATTTTATCATGTCTTAAATAATGCAATCCCGTTATAGAGAATGTCTGGCAGCTTCTGCCTCTATACTTTGGATCCTAAGGTTGCTTCTAAATTGACTGGTCCTATCTAACCTCCACACAGAGAGGTTTTCCTTTCTGCTGAAACTAGTGTGGAGCACAGGGGACTCACACACTGCCTCAGTCTGGTGCAGGCACAAAACAAAACCTTGAAGTTCAGAAGCATCCCCATGTTCTCCAGTTTGGACATGGCCAAGATGCAAAAGAACATTGCTTTTACAGACAATGACAAAGTTCAGGCATATTCCTGTGCTCAGCTCTTCCTATGAACTAGCCTGAAGTATCTAGCAGTACGCAGGGTTGTAGCCACATCTTCTGCAGCAGTGTACATGGCTAAGCACCTAAGGGAATGTTAGACTTCAGTCCTGGAGGTCATCAGGCATACCAGCGCACCCCATTTATGGTGCCACTCTTAGGCACCACAACATCATCTGTAGAGCGGGGGTGACCTGAGCTGGATCTGGCTACTGGGGCCAATGGAAAGTTCCAACCACCACCAGATCTCCACGAGGCATAAGATCAGAGGCAGGGGACAAAGGAAAGGATTTAATAGCTTCCTTGAGCCACCAGCTTGGCTCCCTTCCCTCTAATTCATTAGCAGGATAGTAATGAACACTGAAAATGTTAACATTTGAAGTTCTGCTTACTGAGGACTCCCCTAGTGTCTCCAGGAGCCTCACTGGGGGGTGGTGGTGCTGGTAATTGCACAAAAATGGCTCAAATAAAGAAGATTAAAGAGACAGCCAAAACTGGAACACTGATTTCTTGGATCACATCACATTTCCACAGTAATATTGTACATGAATTTCATAGAATTAAAGTGTCAGTTTAAAAGGAAACCAGTTATTAGTAAAGGATAACAGGTGCTTTAAACTATGGTAAGTGTTGACATTTGAAGGAAAGGAAACATAATCACTTAATGCTTCTCTGACTTTGCATGAAAATGAATATCCACTCCCTGTCAATTCTCACCTTTATTCCACTAAGTGACTGAATAAAAAGAAGTACATGTCCGTTAATGAAAAACCTAATGCATATTGTCAAGGACAAATAAACTAATATGTCAATCAAACTTTAACAGAACTGAAAGATGCACCCATGCCAGAAAATGAAAATGCAATTGCAATTATGCTTTACTTTACTGGAGAATAATAATTGTAAATCTGTTACCTTAGCTAGTAATCAAACTAGTCTTCAGAGTACAAAAATACATATTTAGATTGTAATGGCTTGAAAAAAAAATGTAAGCCCTCCTTCTGCCTTTCCCCACTCTCCACTCCCTTTCCACTGAAGGAGAGCCCAGGAAAAAGCATTGTGGCGAATCAATTTTTCTCTCTACATACACATCATGTTGTCTAAACTGTTGTCATCTGACAGTGCATTGGTTTTAAAAGCAATTCCCTCACCCCAACTTTCTGGACTAAAAATAAGCATTTTGATTTTAAGGTTAGAATGATGTGGGTTTGAGGCTCTCATTCCACATGACAGATACCTTGGGGTATACAATACTGAGATGTCAAAACCTCAGCAAGCCCCTTCTGCAAGCATGAGCTATCTAAAAGGAGCTTTTGCATATTTACCTCTTTCTTCTTCCTTTCTTCCTCCTTACGTTTCTTTTCTTCTCTTATCTGAGCCAAACGCTGCTTTTTGCGCTCAAGTTCTGCTTTTAAGTCGCTTTTGTCTGACATTTTGACTCTGCTGGAAACAAAATTATGGAAACCAAGGTGAAAATAGAATTAAATGTTTTTTCTGTTTACTGAAAAATGATACTTAATGGTATCAAAAATAGTGCTTCCAAAATTGCGACAAATATATTTCTATATAAACGCTGGCTCTTGGACTACACTGACATTGTATTAAGCAGGATATTTGTTTCACAATTTTTATTTCAGCAGCTCTGCCAGACTGTAGGATCCAGATCCACAAATGGATTTCAGGTTTAAATACAAGAGGTAGATCTGCCCCAAACAGCCCCATATATCTTAGACAAGTAAATCTTTTACACACAAATCCTGGAAACATGATAGCTTTTGCTTCTATGTGTGCCTTGAACGGCTGCCATCCCAGGATCCCATCCCATTCCATTGGTACAACCCCACGCAGACCACCAGCTCCATCTCAGTATCCTTCACATATTCAATTCTTCAGTGAGCACCCTCACCAAACCACGGCTACCCTGTGCAGGAATCTCGTCCACCCTTTCCAAGGAAAGATGGGCCATTCCCCCCAAAAAACTGCAGGCAAGGCACAAAACCATGCAACCCAGCAAACCTGAGCCTCTCTTTAACAAAGCAGCACGTTGCTCCACCAACAGAATGCAATCAAGCGAACTTGTCAAAAGCATTTTTTCTTAGCTAATAGACACCCCACCCCACACACCGCCACCCCTCCCCACCATCCAGTCTTAAACATATCTCTGAAGGACAGTGATATGAAGCTACATACACTCTTTGTGTTTTGAATCTCTCTCAATCTATGCTGTTGTTACATGAGCCTCGAAAATGAAGGGCAAAGAGGTAGAAAGTCACATCAGATAGAAACAGAGACAGATCTTTAAAGAACACAGGTTACCCATCTTTTTCTACAGTTTTTAAATCCCACCAGTGTTGTGCAAATCCATAACGAAAGTCACAGATAGTTTATTTATTTTCTAACATCATCATCATTACAGGCTGTCATCTAACTGTATCAATGCAGATTTTCTTAGTAGCACTTCAAACACAGCCCTGACTAACACAGACATTCATGAAAAGAGGTAACTGTGCCTCCTATTAATTCACACACTGCTGACCACATCCACTACTGCTACCCAGTAGCGCCATTTATACACAAAGGAAGGAAGTCTACTGTTTGCTTGATGCATGGGAAATTTAAACAGGAACTCTCGGTTAACAGGAATGAGAACTCCACCCATATCACTGCCTGGGTGGATGGACAGCTGGAGAGTAAATCTATATGCTAAAAATTATATGGCACTTTCACCCATCATTAATTCCTCTGCAGTCATCAGCTTCCTCCTCAAAATGGTAAAAGCATATTTAGCCCATGATATGGAGGATATTGCCAACAAAATGTCACCTGCACATTAAATGCAACCTCATCCCCAAATGCTTGTTGTCTTTGCAAGCATTTTCCTTTAATGAAAGAAAAGAATACAACATGGACTCATAAGAGGAAACAATTCAATGAAAATGGCAGGCATTAAGAGCAGCACAAGGGATGCCAGAGGGGCCAGTATGCCTGTATCTGCATGTGGAGCACATAATGGATACTAACATTTCCCAGCCAAACCCCCAGCTGAAGCCCACCAGCAGGAGTTAAATCAGTCCAGCTCATGTCTCAGCACTTATTTCAGCAGAGCTGTCCATCCTGGCAAGGTACCCTGCCATCCTTTCAAGGCACAGACACTCCCAGTTCAATCCAAAACAACTCAGAGTAAATGGTATAGCTAGGAGGGACATAGGTAGATTTAGATTGGACATCAGGACGAAGTTCTTCACAGAGAGCGTGGTGAGGCACTGGAACAGGTTGCCCAGAGAAGCTGTGGATGCCCCATCCCTGGAAGTGTTCAAGGCCAGGCTGGATGAGGCTTTGAGCAACCTGGTCTAGTGGAAGGTGTCCCTGGCCACAGCAGGGGGGTTGGAACTAGATGATCTTTAAGGTCCCCTCCAACCCAACCCATTCTGTGATTCTATGATTAAACTGCTAACAACCTGAACCATTGGGTGCACTGGCTATATGAAGAGAACCATCATTTCCTTATTCCTCCATCACCCTGATCCTATTCATGATGATATTGTTTTCAATTTAAGAAAGAGGAATCAAAACTGTCAGAAAAATTGCATTTGCTACCAAGAAAACTAAGCAGTTTGAACAACATTAATTTGTGTGATAGGTTGACATCAGTGAGCCATTTTTTACATGAGAATTGCCTGGAGAAGAAAACAAGCTTTTTAATGGCAGTGCAGGTAGTATTTTGTCTACCAATCCGCCCAGGATTTGTGGGTGTCTCTCAGATATGGCTGAAATCCCATTTGAAGTCATTTTCCTAATCTGTTGCACACATTTGAATTCTGATTATGAAGTTCCCCCTCAGAGCCCTTCAGACTAGATAGAGTTTTTGCATCCTTTTAGTTCTGCAGTTTGGCAACAGAGAGCAAGTTCCTTGTTTCTATGCAAAAAAATATGCAAATGCATTTTAAGGCTCATGACAGAAACCCTGAGGGTTTAGCATCCCTTTCAAGCTGTTTGTCAGATATCAATGAACAGCTTTCTAAAAATTCGTTCCCTTAATGTCAGGGGAGCTAACTAGCTTTTTCCCTGATTTAGGCATCAACGGTTTAGTGCCTGGCCCCTTCTTTACAATGCTCAAGTCAGGCTAATAAATCCTATTATAACTTTGCCCTATTTTTAACAAAACAGACCTTATATACAACAAAAATGATGTATTAAATTTCTTTCAAAGAATGTTGCCGGAGCTGAGTTATAGAAAGAAATTAATCTCAAGTTACTTTCATCCTGAATATATTATAGTCATGCCTGAGCCCTCCAAACAGCTTTACAAACCTTCAAACTGGCTATTTAAAATTGTAGCACAAATTGAACACCACGGGTATCTAACCACCTTTCTCAGATGTCAGCAAGTCAGCATTCAGCGATGAAGCAAGCATACTCATCACTCTCCTTGGCATTAACTGTGGAGTTAACACTCTGTATTCATTACTGGGAACAAATTTCTAATAAGTGCTATTCTGAGTGCCAAAAGGCATATCCCACCGAGAGAGATAAAGGCAGATAGTAAAATAAAAGATTTACTTTTTAACATTCTCTATGGTGCAGAATGACAGCCCAAGGCTTATGTACCACCTAATCTTCTCCAGCCAGGGAGAAGGCATTGGTTAGAAGTAAGCAACATTTTGTAGTGAACCAATAGTGAATCTATCTGGGAGAAGGAACACCGGACAAACACACTGAACACTGCATTAAATGTAGAAAGAGTTCTCAAAGCAGGGCAGCAGCCCAGGGCTCCCCTCTTCAAGGGAGGTGCTTAATGTTAGATCAATTTTTTTTGTTTGGCCTAGTTTACTGTCAAGTGACACAGTTTTAAAAGGACAGTCCTCTCATTCCAGAAGAGTTTACCACCCATGTGCTAACAGAGATTCTTGAGATGTAGCAGGACACGTGGATGTGAACCACCTTGCACAGAGAACACTCGCCTGCATTCCTAATACACTGAGGAAATTCCCCTTCTTTGAGCTGCTGGAGAAGGGGGCCTGCTCCTCTTGGCATGACTTGTAATTAATAGAACTGTTGCATTTCAAGGTTTCAGTTTTCCCCACATGCAGTAAATATGCCTCAGAGGCCCTGTTAGGATTGGAAATACAGCCAATTCCACTTACAAATCAAAGGGTCACCAGACCCACCAGGATGGCAGCCACCTGGGCACGTATGAACACAACACCAAGCCTCCTGGGACTTCACCATCTACTGGGCTTGCCTCACTATAAGTGGATACCCACAATGTAGATGCAGAGCTGTCCTTACTACCAATGCAGGTAAAATCCAAAGAGTTTGGATATCTTAGGATGTGATTCCACTTTTCCTAAAGCAGATGTCTAAAAGCAGTTAAAATTAAGTGTGCTCCAAAGCCACCAATTCCTCTCCAATGATAATAAAGTGCCTTGGGTGATCACTTAAGTTCTAGAAACCTTTCTTGTAAACATCTCAGACTGGGTGAGAAGAAATTTGTCCTTAATATGCTCCCAGCAGTTCCTTTTAGCTTGTCAGTGTATTCATTCAACAAGATCTCTGCAAGACAATTTACGTTAATCTTAAAATAATAATGGTGTTTGCACGAACTTCTCTGCTTTACACAGAACCCTCCACTACGCTTATCACACAAGTGGTAACATCTCCCAACCATTTCATTAGTGGCAGTGATAAGCACATAATCATGGAAGATGCAAACAACAGTATCTTACCCTCGACTGGTCTAAAAGACATGCAAGTACTTTTATAGGTACAACCCAATAGACTTATTACAGTTTTATAATAAGCTACAATGTCTTTATCAATAATCAATATCACAATATTTGAGCAGGTATTTTCTTCCAACCCTTTAAATAAGTGCTTAACAGCAGAAACAGTCACAGGCATCTAAAAAGGTTTACTACAGCTGCGGAACTAATTAATTGGTACCTTGTCAGAGTAGCAAAACTACAGAGCTACAGAGGTACAAAGAATGGTAACACATGTATGTATCTTGGACTAAATACAAGAAAAAATAATCATGAAGTGCTCAACATGTAATGAATAAAATAAAGACAATGAAAATTATGCCAGGGCACAGTTTTTATAAGCAGAAAAAGAAAATAAGGTACACCATCTCCCTACTCTTAAAGCCTGTTCTTTGTATCTTCTAGAATAGCATCTTATCTGTATGCTATCACCAAGCTCATCTAAAAAGAAACCTAAGTTTCCAAATCTGGTAGGAGATGAAAAAGCCTACAAGTTTTATTGCTTTTTGGTGTTTGTGGGATTTTTACATGCTGTTTATTCAGTAGGCTGCACTAGAGTAGAAATATATTCACCACTTGATAAGCCTCAAAGTCATTCCTATTTTGTGATTTCCTATGTTGTCCTTTTCATTATTATCTCCATTGCAATTACCAAAGGTGTTCATTAAATA